AAAAACTTTATTGAGACATAATTCATATGACATACATTTCACTCGTGAAAAGTATAAAATTTCACCTATGAAAAATGTAAGTGTATAATTCAGTGGTTTTTAGTATATTCATGGACTTGCACAAATATCACCATAATGTAATTTTAGAACATTTTCATTCCTCCTAAGAGAAACCCTGTACCCATTAGCACTCTCCACTCCATCCCCACCCCAGCACCTAGAAACCACTAATCTATTTTCTGTCTCTATAGATTTGCCCATTTTGAACATTTCATATAAATGGGATTATATAATATGTGACCTGTTATAATATGTGACATTTTTCACTTAGCATAATGTTTTCAAGGCTCATCCACATTGCAGCATGTGTCAGTGCTTATTCCTTTTTATTGATAAATAATATTCCATTGCATGAGTATACTGCATTTTATTACTTATCTGTTCATTATTTGATGGATATTTGTGTCTGTTTCTACTCTTTGGCTATTATGAATAATGCTGCTGTGAACATTTGTGTAAAAGTTTTGCATTGACATATGTTTTCATCTCTTGTGTATATACCTAGGGGTAAAATTGCTAGATGTTATGGACTGAATGTTTGTATAAGTCCCAAATTTATATGTAGAAGCCCTGACCTTCAATGTGATAATATTAGGAGATAGGGCCTTTGGGAGGTAATTAGCCCCATGATGGCATTAGTGTCCTTAGAAGAAGGGGAAGAAACACCAGAGCTCTCTCTATCTGCCATGTAAGGACATAGTGAGAAGGTGGCCATCTGAAAGCCAGGAAGAGAGCCCTCACCTGGGAACTGAATTGTCCAGCACCTTGATCTTGGACTCCCCAGCATCTAGAACTGTGAGAAATAAATTCCTCACTGTTGTTTGAGCCCCCCAGTCTGCAGTAGTTTAATATGGCAGCCCCAGCTGGCTAATACCTTGAGTCATATGGTAATTCTGTTTAGAATTTTGAGGAACTGCCAAATTGTATTTCAAAGTAGCTGCACCATTTTACATTCTCACTGGTGTATGAGGGTCTGAATTTCTCCATGTCCTAGTCCACGCTGGTTATTATCTGTCTTTTTAATCATAGTTATCCTAGCAGGTATGAAGTATTTCACTGTGGTTTTGATTTGCATTTCCCAAATGAATAATGATGTTGAGCATCTTTTCATGTGCCATTTTTGTATATCTTCATTTGTATATCATGGCCATTTGTATATCTTCTTTGAGGAAATGTCTATTCAGATCT